AATACCACAGTCTTTAATCAGGTAAATGCAATATGCAGGGTACTCTGTGACCCAGAGGTTAGCATGCTGGATTTCTGATAAAGAAGTTCTGGTTCCATGCTCAATGTGCTGTATTCACTGAAAAGTTACTGTATGTCCTCTTTCAATACATTTCTCTACAGTAATCCTGGAGTATGAAAGAGATTAGTAGAGAAGCTTGGAAAATTGCCAATCCATGAAGAGAAGCTTAACACCCTGACAAATGGGTACTGACCAGGAGCATTTGTTTAAAAATCAAAACTTCTAGGGTTGGCGATCATTTCCTATATTCTCATGATCTTAATGAATGATTCAGTAGTATTACTGTATGGAGAAATTAAATTCAGGTCACTCTCAGAGTTTAAAGGATTAATAAGCTATGTTAGTTACATGCATGGGTGTATGAGAATTCACATTTGTAGAAGAGCTTGCTTGACTGCAATTAGGTGTGTGTTTTGTTTGATCTCAAAGGACAGGTGAATCTAGCAGACATATTTAATTTAAATTCTACCTGTCGCATTGTATCTATAGCTGTCAACTCTCTGGTTCACCACTTTGCTATCCAGCCTTATCCAGTAACCACTCTTATCCACGATCTAGGGTTCCCCATTGTTCATAAGAAATTATCCAAGGGCTTTGTCTAGAACTTGTCCACAGGCTACTAACCAAGGCTTGTCTGCAGGCTTCCAAACAAGGCTTATCCACAGGCTACCAACCAAGGCTTGTTCATAGGCTACCAACCAAGGCTTGTTCACAGGCTACTAACCAAGGCTTGTCCACAGGCTACCAACCAAGGCTTGTCTGCAGGCTACCAATTAGGACTTTTTCACAGACTACCAACCAAGGTTTGTCCACAAGCTACTAATCAAGACTTGTCCACAGGCTACCAACCAAGGCTTGTCCATAGGCTATCAACCAAGGCTTGTCCACAGGCTACCAACCAAGGCTTGTCCATAGGCTATCAACCAAGGCTTGTCCACAGGCTACCAACCAAGGCTGGTCCACAGGCTACCAACCAAGGCTTGTCCACAGGCTACCAACCAAGGCTTGTTCACAGGCTGCCAACTGAAGCTTGTTCACACACTATGTACCACAGGCCACCAACCAAGACCTAGCCACCTTTCCCACTGTCCATGAATACTTGTTCACAGGCCACAAACTGAGGATTATTGACAGACCATGTACCGACCATGGATCACAGGTATTAGTAATGCAATATCTAACAGCTACATATCAAAGCTGATATTGCACCAAGTCTTGCTTGCATATGATGCATGTCTCTATCCACAATCTATCAGTTGGATTAAAAGTAACCAATTAGTGTATAAAGTCACAGAGATACAATGTATACTGACTTAGTAATGTCATAACAGTCTATAACTCTATTACTGTACATGTTCATTAAGCATGGTGCAATGCAATGCAACTTACAAAGTGATTGGTCATTGCTTAACATCTCTCAGAATACAGACACAAAAATTATTTTACTTTGAAGGTATCAAAGGGGATGGCACCTGATTATATGAGAAGCTGCCAACTTTCAATACTTGGGCAATTATTCCCACTTGATTTTTTGCCACCTATCTCTTAAAACAGTATACAAAACCACCAGCCACAAAGGCCAGGAGTGACCCAGAAGTAATTTCTCATTATGATAAGAAGGTTACTGTCAAAAAGTTCAGTCAAAATTTTATTTATTTATTTATTTATTTATTTATTTTTTGCTGTTTAGTTAGAGAAATCATCTAAGATTAGCAGATAAAAGCTTAATTTGTTAAAAGAAAACATACAAAATCTTAAAAAGAATGCAAAATATAGCTGATAGAGTGTCATTGGGTAACTGGTACCAAAGAGTGAAAGGTGTAATATTCCAGAAGTCCCCAATAGAGAGTTGACACTTTTCAACAAGTTTTGTCTGGAATCTCAATTTGCATATTTTGTTTTAATCTCCTATTGCACAGCACAAAAGAAGTGAGTTTGTCACATTTCCCAAAACATTGAGAAATAAGAATTTTCATGAAATGGTCAGAGAGAAAGTCTAAGAGAAAGCCTGGCCAAAGAAATCATAGGCAGAAAATTTTGATGAAGTCAAAAAGTCTGACCCTACTCTTTGCTTCTCCCAATTAATTTTTCTGACTTAGTTCAACTGATACATTTTCTCTGGGAGATGACCTTTTCTGCAAATTTCAATCAAGGTGTTTCTGTTTCAATGTTGTCTTTCATTGGCAGACAGCATAACTGTACCAAAACACCCTTTAATGAGGTGTGAAAACTAATAATTTCTTTGGAGGCCAAAAAACTTAAGGTTTGCTTCTCCATAAATTATCTTGACTCAAACAAATTAATAGCCTACCAAGGTTACATCATTTTTTCACAGTTTGATGAAACAAGATATCCCTAAAACCTCAGAAGTGCATAATCCAAAGCTTGGATAAAGAAAAAAAGAAGAGCAGAGGTCAAAGTAGAGAGGGAACATGCAAGGCCCTCAGTATTTTCCTGTGTCTTTGACCTTCCAAACCCTCATGAATTTACAGTTACTTTCACAAGGGTTTGGATATTCTCTTGAACCATACATTATTCCTAGAAATTCCCTTAAAATAATACTAAATAAATGAATAGGCCCACTATCAATCCTTTGACTTCCAAGATCTCATCACAAATACTCCTTACTGTCTGCCAAACAATTCTTATGATGTCAGTTTGGAGAATTTGGCACTGGATCAACTAATAATCCCCTAATTGATATTTTTCTTTCTTCTCATCACTCGTCTGCTTGATATTGTATTGATACCCAGAGGAGAAACTATTTCTTGGTCACTCAAGAAAGTCAACGGGTTATTTAATGTCATAAAATATTCATTAGAAGCACACTCACAAAATTTAAATAATTATGTCACTGGGATGAATAAAAGATAAGAAATATGCTTTTCTTTCTTATTTTCCAAGTTTAAATATCTCTATTCAATATGTATTTTAATTTCTTTTGTTTCAAAATATCATTACAAATTCAATAAAAAGATAAAAATCAAACAGATGATGAAAATTCTAAACAAAGAAAATCTTTGAATTGCACACTTAAGAAACTGGATCATATATAGTCAAAACTTGAGCTCTGAAATACCATTTGGATGCTCATTTGAAATTTTCACTTAAAGGAGGGGCACTTATTAGAAGGAGGGTGCTTAATTGAGGGAGAAACATATTAAACAATTATTAACCTGTACTGATTCCCCTGTAGTTGAAGCTTAAAAGTTCATAAATAAAGTGACAGTGGAACAAGTTCTCCTTACATTCCTACTATTTAAGAAAGTGAGGGAGGAGAGGGGGCTCTTATTTGAGGGGGGTGCATGTTTGAGAGGGGTGCTTGTTTGACATCATCGCCTTAGGGGTGGGTGCTTCTGTGGAAGAGGGCACTTATTTTACTGCGCTAAGCGCTTTTCCGTAGAAATACGGTAAACAGAATTAAGAAGCGGCGGCCAAAAAAATGTACTTTTAAAACAACACCTTTTAAGTACTTTTTGACACCTTTCTCAGAAAACAAAAAAATCTTCGAGTAACTTCAACTATTTTAGTTTCCAGCCGCAAACTCAGCTCTCATTATGATAGTGTCTTACACAATATAATTGAAAACGATAAAATGTGCACGTGCTCGATATATGAAATTTGAATTTCCCGCAAAACACTGAGAACTGAGCTTACACCATATCAGAACTCACTATCCAAAATTCCATCAGATTACAAACTTACTTCGTAACTTTAATTAACAGGAAGAAGTAATTCATCGAGACAACAAGTCCATCAAGTAGTTTTAAGGTTAAATCCTTACCTCTCATAATTGCCATGGATATCACATGGTCACCAATCCATGGTTTGGAAGCCACTGAGATACGTATTTTTTCCTCCAAATTCCGTCAAAGAATAGCCAACATGCACCGTAAGGTAAACACTGTTTAATTTGCCGTCTTTCCTTTTGTTATGTCTCAAATAGGCAGGTCATACTAAACATTACCCTCAATAGTCACTCCGCCATGTTGGATTATTTTTAACTAGTTCCCAGTATTCTTGCGCAATAAAACAAACGCGTCACGTTACACGCGAAACTCCACGGGGAAACACGTTTAGCGAGACATAAGGAAGTCTCTGTCCATAGCAAGTATAAGCGTAAAGAAATTAAAGCCTCTATTCAGTATCAAACATTTGATGCGTAGTTGCGGGATCGGAATTAACTGAAGCTTCAAGTTGTTTCTTCAGAGATTTAGTACCTTGTGGCGCAAAATTCAAGTACCTTTACTTTTCCAGTGAATAATGACTAGAATATGCCTACCTCAAAATCGCTAGATAAACCCGTTGCGGTTATTTTGTATGATATGGTTCTACCTGATGTATACCATTGTGTTGGCTGATATTCTGAAGTATCGCTTCGGGCTCCACTTTCGATTTAAGGAATCCAAGGCTCCATATCTAATTTCTTAGACGTGTCTTACCAAGAGGATTTTAAAAATTGTATGTGGTTTCTAACGTAATCCGCTTGAAACGAGAAACAAATCAATCTCCTAAGGGTAATTGAAGCTGTTGGTTTTCATGTACCTTAAGTCTTAAATCTTCACGTTTTTTTTTTCGTTAAAGGAAGGTCATTTTTCAACGCCCCCCTCCCTCCCTCCCTCCCTTCATCCCATCCAGCTCCTTCTCCTCCTCGAAGTCCGAAGGTATGTTAATGTCTGCGTATAAACTAAATAAAGCGTAAACAAGCCTGGAGGTCTTAGAATCTTGGATTGGAAAATCACGTGTGTCTACACAATCCCTCGATTTCATGTGCCAAGGCTCTGCCGGCTATGAAAAGCAATGGGGATTGGGAAGGAAAATGCCAACCACATCGACGATTAATTGAATAAAATCAAGTAAAGATCTCTTGGACAGATCCTCACGATGGCAAAAAAGGATCAAGCAAGAGTTGTAAACAACAATTCTGACAACAAATTTAACTTTTAACAATTTAATCACAACTCTACAATAAAGTATTTACAAAATTTATCGCGGAAAGAATGGCGAATCCAAGCTAAGTATGCTGGATCAATGTCAGTAACTGAAATACCGCACACCCACCCCTCCCTTTACCCAAGATTAACTCTGACTTGTTATCAGTTGACTGTTGTTGGGTTAGAGGAGGGGTAGGTGAGCAGTTACTCAGATACTGACTTCAACTCGATATTCTTTCTCCTTGCTTCTTGGAAGTGTCCTTTTCACATTACTACAGTGTCCATCAAAAAATAACCTTTGTAGACAAGGTTGGCGATGTTGAAGAGTACAAGGAGGGAACGATAGTCTCTGTGAGTTCTAGTCTATGCGTGTTGACCTTCCGGCAAATATTTGAAGATTTCTCTGTCTATCATACATAAGTGACGCTGAACCATGTACAGATCCAAAGAAAAATAGGTAAATACTCTCTCTTCACATCTTAGAGGTACAAACTGGCAGCAAAAACGATATCCCGCTTGATTTTGATTATTCCTTGGAAAACAAAATTAAAAAACACTTTCAGCAAACTTCAATAGAGCGTTTTTCCAATACACTATTACATTATTTGTTCCTAGTTATTTGCTCCCAATACACTTTTTCAAGGACATGGATTTCAGGACAGGGGTAATTATACGAACTCAAAAATAAACTAATTTAATTTTTTCCTTATTAATTTTGTTTTTGTTTTTTTCAATATCAGGGTTAAGAGTTAAATGTCCCACAGCAAAAAAAATTGCACTTCTACCAGACCCCCAGATTAAGGTACAATCGTAATGAAAAAAAAATTTGTTTCATTATTAATCTTTAATACAAAATATGTTACCCTCTGCAAACTTGTTTTCCAACTCTGTGTTTCCTATGGCTTTGGATGCTTGACACATTTGTCTCAAGAGTTCTTCCAAGCGTCGCATACAACGAATAACACTGCCTGATAAACACATAAACAAATTAGAGCGCACAAACTTCACTTTGCATAACTACGTCATCTTCTGTTGTGTGACAGCTCTAATTGAATAAGGAAGTCACGCAATCGTATGCAAAGAAAAAAGTCGTTTTTACCTTCAAACGCATCAGTCATTTTACAAATCTGAGAGAATGAGGCTCCATTTGCCCAGGCAAACACTACGTCCATAATATGAGGTTTAAAGGATTCCACATATGTCTCCACATCTATTTCAAGTTTAGCTTCTTCTGAAACCTTTCCAATACGGCGTGCAGATTCCTAAAGATATAACCACGAATGAAATTTGCAACAAAAGCTTGAACTGACAGTAAAGCTGCTCACATATCTGACTGTCTATCTAATTTACTGACTGTCTAACAAACTGGGTGAATAATTAATTGAAAGGCAGACAGACAGGCTAACTGACCGACACTCACGAACTAACAGGCTAACCAACTAACTGACTAACAGACTGCTCGACCGACTGACCGACCAGCTGACTGACCGACTGATTGATTGACAAATTGACTGATTGACTGACTGACTGATTGACTGACCGACTGACTGACTGATGGACTGAGTGATTGACTGATTGAATGACTGAGTGACGCACTGACAACCGGACGGACTAATTGACAAGCAGACTAATAGGCGATGTACAAGTTGTACTACAAAATAAAGTTATAATAGCACTAATGTTAAACTTACCTGCATTTGTCTCAAGGGACCTGCGAGTTCTTCTTTCAGTTTGGGAATCTCGTCACTCTGTTTTACGGTAGGTGAATAAAATCAAAGGAATTAATTGCGAAAATACATTAAAAGGGACAACACTTCTCAGTGGTGTGCTGAAAATGAGCAAAGATAATACTCAGTTAACAATATTGTAAGTAATTGGAAGTTACCTTCTCTTCAAACACAAAACAGCTGAGTAAAGCCACGCACTGTTGAACTGTCAGTTCATTGAAAACTCCATTAAAGATCATCTCTGTCAGTAGCAGTTCATCCCCACTACAATCAAATAGCAAAATGGTATTATAGCAGCAAACATCCTTAACATAAATGTGCACGAAAGGAATCGCTCTCTCAAAACCACTTCAGCCCTAGCAGTGACCAAAGAGAAATTTCTCCTTATGGTATCGATGAATTTTCCACCCGAAAGATAATGTGGCGAAAGAAATCTATCACCTATATCGAAATCTTAAAACTAACATTACAAGAAGTATAAAGATTACAAAAAAGTATATTTCGTTAGTATCTCGCGAACTCCAAGGATTCTTTTCCATTCGTTTGTTTCGTTAGTATCCCGCGCACTCTGACGATTGTCTTTAGTTCGTTTGTTTCGTTAGTATCTCGCGCACTCTTACGATTGTCTTTAGTTCGTTTGTTTCGTTAGTATCTCGCGCACTCTTACGATTCTCTTTAGTTCTTTTGTTTCGTTAGTATCTCGCGCACTCTGACGATTCTCTTTAGTTCGTTTGTTTCGTTAGTATGTTGCGCACTCTGACGATTCTCTTCAGATCGTTTGTTTCGTTAGTATCTCGCACACTCTTACGATTGTCTTTAGTTCGTTTGTTTCGTTAGTATCTCGCGCACTCTGATGATTCTCTTTAGTTCGCTTTGGTTAAGCTGGGTCGGCTCGTAATTTTCGATTTCCTCGGCAATTCCCTTCTCTAAACACCACTTTTTTCAAACCGACAACCAAAAGGCAGTGCTTTTTACAGTGTTTTCGTTGTTTAGGCCGTTTTTCAGCTGCGGTGGCAAAAGAAAGCCTACTTAAAACGCCGGCCATTGTGTCGCTCGCAAATTTTCAAATTTTCAAATTTTGTTGCGACATCCAAGGCTCGCATTTGATTGGCTATCTGTGAGTTTTTTATTGACCAATCAGAATGTCTTATTTGTTTTTATTCTTTGCACTGAATTAACCCTCTTCGGCACTGAATTACCTGAGAACTGCATTTATCTTAACCAATCAGAACTGAGTAATTTTTCCATGTATATTATTAGTTTCGTTAGTATCTCGCGCACTCTTACCATTCTCTTCAGTTCGTTTGTTTCGTAAATATCTCGCGCACTCTTACCATTCTCTTCAGTTCGTTTGTTTCGTTAGTATCTCGCGCACTCTTACCATTCTCATTTAGTTCGTTTACCATTCTACCATTCTTTCAGTTCGTTTGTTTCGTTAGTATCTCGCACTCTTACCATTCTCTTCAGTTCGTTTGTTTCGTAAATATCTTGCGCACTCTTACCATTCTCTTCAGTTCGTTTGTTTCGTTAGTATCTCGCCATTCATTCTCATTTAGTTCGTTTGTTTCGTTAGTATTCTCATTTAGTTCGTTTGTTTCGTTAGTATCTCGCGCACTCTTACCATTCTCATTTAGTTCGTTTGTTTCGCTAGTATCTCGCGCACTCTTACCATTCTCATTTAGCTCGTTTGTTTCCTTAGTATCTCGCGCACTCTGACGATTGTCTTTAGTTCGTTTGTTTCGTTAGTATCTCGCGCACTCTGACGATTGTCTTTAGTTCGTTTGTTTCGTTAGTATCTCGCGCACTCTTACCATTCTCTTCAGTTCGTTTGTTTCGTTAGTATCTCGCGCACTCTTACCATTCTCTTCAGTTCGTTTGTTTCGTAAATATCTTGCGCACTCTTACCATTCTCTTCAGTTCGTTTGTTTCGTTAGTATCTCGCGCACTCTTACCATTCTCATTTAGTTCGTTTGTTTCGTTAGTATCTCGCGCACTCTTACCATTCTCATTTAGTTCGTTTGTTTCGTTAGTATCTCGCGCACTCTTACCATTCTCATTTAGTTCGTTTGTTTCGTTAGTATCTCGCGCACTCTTACCATTCTCATTTAGTTCGTTTGTTTCGTTAGTATCTCGCGCACTCTTACCATTCTCATTTAGCTCGTTTTTGTTTCTGACGATTGTCTTTAGTTCGTTTGTTTAGTTATCTCTGACGCGCGTTTGTTTCTTACCATTGATTTAGTTCGTTTTTTTCGTTAGTATCTCTCGTTTGTTTCTTTAGTTCGTTTGTTTCGTTAGTATCTCGCACTCTGACGATTGTCTTTAGTTCGTTTGTGACGATTGTCTTTAGTTCGTTTGTTTCGTTAGTATCTCGCGCACTCTGACGATTGTCTTTAGTTCGTTTGTTTCGTTAGTATCTCGCACACTCTGACGATTGATTTAGTTCGTTTGTTTCGTTAGTATCTCGCGCACTCTGACGATTGTCTTTAGTTCGTTTGTTTCGTTAGTATCTCGCGCACTCTGACGATTGTCTTTAGCTCGTTTGTTTCGCTAGTATCTCGCGCACTGACGATTGTCTTTAGTTCGTTTGTTTCGTTAGTATCTTGCGCACTCTGACGATTGTCTTAAGTTCGTTTGTTTCGCTAGTATCTCGCGCACTCTGACGATTGTCCCGTACAGGCCTGAATTTTTTTCAGGCCTTATTTTCACTACTGCCTAAGTAGTGCACATCACTGCGAAGATCACTTTCATTCATGTCTTTAGTTCGTTTGTCTCGTTAGTACCTCGCGCACTCTGACGATTGTCTTTAGTTCGTTTGTTTCGCTAGTATCTCGCGCACTCTGACGATTGTCTTTAGTTCGTTTGTTTCGTTAGTATCTCGCGCACTCTGACGATTGTCTTTAGTTCGTTTGTTTCGTTAGTATCTCGCGCACTCTGACGATTGTCTTTAGTTCTTTTGTTTCGTTAGTATCTCGCGCACTCTTAGTATGCTCTTTAGTTCGTTTGTTTCGTTGATACCTCGCGCACTTTTGGGATTCTCTTTTGTTTGGCCGTTTCGTTAGTATCTTACGCACACAAGTTTCTTGTGTGCCTAAAAACACTTAGGAATATTTCCATGACCACGAAAGCTACATCAAGTTAATATAATAAATTTTTCTGACCTGCTTAGTTCACAAGCGACTCTTCCCTTAAGCTCAATTACATCAGATGCTGTGGCATATCCCAACCTGAAATATTAGTGTTTCAGACAGAGGAGGAGAAACAACAGAATTCGCATAACTCCTTTCTTCAAGTTTTCAAAGGTTGGGCAGTTAGTAAATAAACTTTTCCATGGTACATTAGTAAAATCCTGTAGGGTGGACGATTTCGGCTACTAATGGGGGATGGGGGGTGAGGAGGGAATTCTTACTATGCCTGTATGGGATGCTACTCCATCATAAGTTAGTCCCCCCCCCCCACTTCATTAGGTTTCCCTATAGTGTGATGTTACGCCTATACAATGTTGAGAAGGGGGGGGGGGGGTGGAGGCACCGTGAGGGTTATGTATGCTACTCAAGAACATAACCTCTTGGCTCAGAGATCACACAAGTTGTATATCTCCCACCATCATAAGACAAAAGCATGAAAACCAACCAAGCAAAACCAGAAAAAAACGGCAACGGCTACAGCTAATGCATGTATACAAGAATACAATATTTGGGTACAAATTAAAACTATAGGAGACTGTAACTAATTTTACATATTTTATTTCACTTAGAAGTGCATAATGGTACCTTCGCAAAACTCGTTTCCTACTCTTGAGTTCATCCATTTGCAGAACTGTCTTTGTTCTCCTCAATTCCTTCTTGACTGTTTTAATCTCACTGATAATCTACATAAGGCAAACAGAAAATTAAAGTGGCTTTGCCGTGACAAGTCTGTCTCTATAAAATAATGATTAACCCATCAAGCCCTCTTCATAACATATAAATTCTCCTCACTAGTTTTCATACATTTTCTTATAACAGCAGCCTTTTTCACTAATTTTAACAAAAGTTACAAACTTTCCAACAAGATAATTATTAATAGCCCTCCTTTAAATAAAAGCACCCTTTAAAATACAAGCAAGTGGCTGAGATCATCCACAGTGCTTGATTGCTATAATATTTTCTGGGCTTTTAACCCCTCAACTCCCATGAGTGACCAAGAGAGAATTTCTCCTTACAATATCCATACAATATCAAGCAGACAAGTGATGAGAATAAAGAACAATGTCACTTAGAGGGATTATCAGATGATTCAAACCAAATTCTCTGAACTATCATCATAAGAATTGTTTGGCAGAAAGTAAGGAGAATTACTCATAAGATCTTGGGAGTGAAAGGGTTAATAAAAGTACATCTAAACATCTTGAGTCCATTATTTAATTAAATATTTTGTGGTGCTAACAGTTTTTTCGATTTTCACATTAATGATGACATGACAATATTTTACCTGAGCTTTCTTCTCACATAAATTGTACAGGGATTTCAGATCAGGATCTTTATGCATTGGATGAGTGTACATTCTATGCTCTAAACTCTCTATTTTCTGTTTGAAAAGACAGAAAGATTTATCATTTTATTAGTATTACCTATAGTAATACTTACTCTTTTCCTTCCTTAAAATTGTGAAAGGAAATGTTGAGAACAAAATGCATTTAAGTAGAGAGGGTATGCTACACTATCACCATTTCTTAGGCTTGATTTCTGCTTTTCACTTAAGAGTTGTCTCTGTTCACAGGCTCCTGGCATGAAAAGGGGCTGGCTATTGGGCCCCACTTTGGAACCTCCATTTTTTTTTTGTCTCCTACATTACATGTTCCTCTCTTTTATGTGTCATGATCAGAGTCAATTCAAGACCTGTGAACAGTCTAAGTTTCAAAACATGTGCAAATAGCTGTACTAAGAAGAAGAAAAATCAAACAAATTTTTTAAACTTCTTACTTACAACCTCCAAATTGAAAATTAACATTTTTACTTGGATATCATTATCAAATCTAGGATACCCCTTCATCAGAGCAGACCAGGCATGGTGTATTTAGCTTTTACAAAATCAGAAAAAAATTTTATTGTTTTAAATAAAATATATTAAACTTACAACAGAGGCTTTGATTGCACTCACCCTTATGACAGACTTTAATCCATCATCTTTGATTCCCATGTCTTCTATAGGATCCAGCATTGGTAGGCCATCTGGGAATCGACGTTGTACCTCCTATTGAAAGAAAACCATTGTAAAAATTTGTTTGCTGTTAATTGCCAAGACTCCTTTCCTTGACCCTTTACATCCTAACATCAGCATCCATATTCTCTATACTTTTCTCTATATGTTTCCTTTGTTGCTGACAAGGAGAATTCGTTCAACAATCAAAGATTCTTAAGTTGGTGATCCTTTCCTTTATTCTCACAATCTTAATGAATGATTCAGCAGTTTTATTGTAAGGAGAAATTAGATGCTAGTCACTCTTAGGGTTTAAAGGTTTAATTACTTCCTTAGTGCTTTAGAGCCTTTGGGTGAAGCAACTTGAATTTTTAACCTACTGTACTGTGTAAGTTACCCGATACTTTGAAGTAACACTCATCAAGTACCAACCTTGACTGATTTTCCAACACTCTGTCTACTGTCCAGTGACCTCAAATCCTTAGGAATGTACAACCTGACACTGCTTATTGCTTTCACCAATTGTAACAAAATGGGCACAACCTGAGGAAACAAAAAATGTTGTACTTCTAATAAATGCAGCCATATTTTTTTGGAAAACATTTGAATTAACCCAGTAAATCCTGAATCACTGATTTACCTGCATTTCTCCTTTTTCATCAGGCCCACATGGCTGAGGTGTCTCACCATCTGCTGACTTCAATGGCTGACTGGAACAATTAAGTAACACCTCTAACACATACAAAGTCTCCCCATGTGTTGGACCACTCTGAGGAAGGGATTTAAACAACAATATTATTTCCAGTAAAACTTCTGATCATTGTCATGATAAGGTTAGACTGTGGGGGGTCCAGTAATCTTATGGTTGGCTTTTTTATCTTCTGGTTGAGAGGTGCAGATGATAAGCCCTGCTTCAGCTTTTGTATTGTGTCCATAGGAAAGACACTTCACCACCAACCCATCACCCATGGGGATAAATGGGTAGCAGAAAAATGTAATAGTGTAGCCTGATCATCCAGTAAGTGTGGTCCTAAGAAGGACTGTTGCTGGTAGTGGTGACTGAGCTCTCAACAACCTGAGTGATGACTTCCATTTCGGTTGTCAAAACTACCAACAAAAGTCCATCTCTGGACTACACTCACCCAGACAATCAGACTACACTATCACATGTTACCCACAGGTTCAAACCATTTACTGTAGAAAACTGAAAGGGAAATCTGACCAAATACTGTGGGGTAACCCTGTGATGGACTGGCTTCCCATCCTAGAGGAGACTGAAGTACATGTAACAATCAAGTCACTTTGTGCTATGCAAACACAAAGAATCAGTGTACCCAGAGAAGTCCACTTGTTTAAACCATTCACTGAATAGGAACAAATACCTCTGAAAAAAGTTTAGATACTTTCAATGATAGGAGTTATAATGATCATTAAAAATACCTTTTGATTGTCCTTCTCTTCTGGAAATAAATGATTAAGAATCCCACACCCCATCCAAAGTAAATGTCTCTGGAAGTTTAGATGCTTCAATGATCTTATATAAATTAACACATTTAATTAAGTTACTGAAAGCAGCTAAACAAAGAAGAACCAAACAACAAAATAAATGTATAAAGGATTAAATTAGAGATCAAACACAAAATATAGTATGAAGGATTACATTAGAGATCTCCCTGCTATTAAAAGTGAAAATAGTGGTGAAAGTAATCCAGATCATTTAAAATTATGAGGGAAGTAACATACAGTGGATTCAGTTTTGTTGTCAACATTGCAAGAATAGATTCTTATTTAACAAACCTGTGTCTTTTTTCCTAGTTAAAAATTGTTAATTGAAAAAAAAAATTCCTTACCTCAACTAATCGTCCAGGTTGCATAAAAGGAAGGCAATACTTAGGTTGATGAACATAACCCTAAATAATAGGTAGAAATAAAGATTACCATTAATAACAAAATATTATCTACTAATTTTAACCTATTTTCTGTACCTTGATCCCACTGTGAAAAGCAAAACAATCCTACCTTACTTTTAACATTTGACTGAAAATTGCTCAATAGAAAAATCAACTCTCTACCCCCTAACATCAATATCCACATTCTCCATACTATTCACCATACATTTCCCAAGGTGCTGACAAAGAGAATTTGTTTAATAATCAAGAGCTGCTTTAGTTGGTGATCATTTCCTCCATTCTCATGACCTTCATGTCTGATTCAAGGGTGTTATTGTAAGGAGAAATTAGATGCTGGTCACTCTTAGGGGTTACAGGGTTAACGACAATCAAAGCCACACCTACCAGCATCTCATCCCCAAGTCTATTTATCTGTTGTCTCATTTTGTAGTATGACATAATGGATTCTTCATTTTGGATTTCCAAAGATTCCTTCTGGGTTTCAAGATCTTTGAGCTCTTTAAACAACAAAGAAAAAGAGAACACAGTCATGATTCAAGCTAATTTTAACTGAAATTGTAATTTACTTGTATACCCATAAGAGACAACAAGCACCAAAACTGCTCCCAAAAAAATGTTGTTGCTCAATACATGCAGTCCTAAGACTGCTTATACTGCATTTCCTCAAATAAGCACCCAAGCTTTGATAAGCACCCACCCCTAAGCATAATTTTCAAATGAGCACCCCCCTTGAAAAGGCACCCACCTCCTCCCTCAATTTCTTAAATCATAGGGATGAAAAGAAAATCTGTTTCAACTAGCATTTAATATCTATAACTATTTAAGCTTCAACTACAGTGGAATCAGTGCAGAAGAATGATAAGCACCTTCCTTCATATAGGAGCCCAGGTGCTTATTTGATACAGTATGTACAGTACTGATTAAAACTCTGATAAAATAATGACCATGAAAAGTAATGCAGAACCGGCAGAGCCCTTTAACTCCCAAGATCTGATTGTTAATTCTCCCTTCTGGCTGCTACAAATTTCCTAGTAAATTGGTTCCGAGAATTTGGAGTGAGATCAAGATAGCTACTTCTACCTGACAAGTTTAAGTATTCTCATTACCTGCTTGCTGGATAATGTATGGATGGCTTAAGGAGAAGTTACATGTTTCTCACTTCCAGGAGTTAAAGCATGTACAGCCACAATCTGTCTGGCTGCAATTAACAACTGAAAGCTTCTGAAAAGTACTTACTGAGCAGTACTTACTTTCAATCAAGCCAGGAACAGAGGCATAATTCTGAAATTGATAAAATGATTTCTCCAGCATAATCTCTGGATTCACTTCTTCCACACGCAGCAGGTTCAACACCATGTTGTAAGTGAGATGAAAAGCACTGTTCAGTGGATCTGCTTGGCCCTATTAGCAGCAAAACATAACCAAATTGAAGAATAAGTTACATTGTCTATACTGACCAGTTTAAAGTCTTAAAATTTCTCATTCCAGCTACTAATTCTCAGTTCTCCACTACTACAGTGCAGTTATGGAAACATCTGCATTGCAACCTTATGATCCAAGATCTCAATATTTCCCTTTCTGACTAAATTCTGTATGTCATGATGATTTGGTGTTTAATTAAACATTCCCCCAACTGATGTGTTTCTCTATTTCCATCTTCTGCACTTGACAATGAATTGATTTTGCAACAAGAAGTTACATTTATATCACTCCTGGGAATAAAGCAAGTGAAACAAAAAGTAAAACAGCATTGGCAAAAAAAAGACCTCCAAGGGAACTAGGTGTACAGTGTAGACATGTCTCATTTGTTGTTAACAATTAAGAGTTACTTGTTACTGGTTCATTGTTTGTATGAAAATGGCCCTTAATCTCACCAAAAGCTAAGGGAAAAGTATGATACCTTTAACACTGCTTTTCCAACATCAGGTCCCATTTTCTCATCCACTATCAAAATGACTATCCCTCTGTCATCAATGCCACGTCTTCCAGCTCTGCCACTCATTTGAATGTACTCTCCTGATGTTATCTGGAAATCAGAGTTAATCACAGGGCTGAGTGTATTGATATGGGGAACATCATTCTGTTAAAACCTGATCGATTCAGTAGTGTCACTGGAGTGTTGTGGGAGGCTCCTTGGAGATTTGCAGAGGCATTATCATGTGCTTTTGCTATCCTTGCTTTGCTACTTTGTTTCCATCATATCCCTATACCCTCCCTCCCTCCCACATTTTCAGTACATATTTATTAAATAGAGTAGTTTGCTGGTGTTATGTTGACAGCTGTCTGGATCTGGGGTCTGGGGTCTGGCATGATGGCGATGGTGAATCCCTTACCACTGAGGAAATTACCACTTTGTTGTCGTTTCCACACCTACCCTCTAATATTACTGACTACAATCCAGGATAAAACAATAGACAAATTTCCATTGAGATCAACATATTCAGAGAGAACACCAATTTTTATACTAAATACTAAGTCTTTCTCATCTCCCCCCAATGTGCAAAATTGAAAAGTGGAAAGAGGTACTAGAACTACTCACAAATCTGAAGTCTTTCCCATCAAACTTTCTGGCATTTGTAAACACAACTGTTCTTGCAGGCATGTTAAGACCAAGAGCAAATGTTTCAGTGGCAAAAAGAGCCTAAAAAAAACAATCACAATCAACAACAACAACAACAACACTTCAGGACTCAATTGTTAACTTTTCTGCCTGTAAGGAATCAGGATATACTTACTTTGATTAAACCTTCTGAGAAGAGAATTTCAATGGTCTCCTTTAAAATTGGAAGAAGTCCAGAGTGATGAATGCCAATACCACGCTTCAGCAAGGGAAGAACATGTTCCACCTAAAAATTGAAAGTAATGCCTTATTTTGAGCAGACATTGTATGCAATCTATTTCCTGACCAGGGAATTGCTTGAAGAGCATCTAAATTCACACATGAATGCACTACCTACTGCATGGTCTTGCAAATAAAAGAAACTTCCATCATAATGCTGCTTTATTGAAATAAAATTTTACCTGAGGAAGAGTTTTGTCCTCATCTGATAAACAGTCAATAGCATTATTAAACACTTCTTCTACCAACTTCTTCTCTTGACCTAGAAAAGGGAAAGAGCTACATTGTATAACTTCAGTTGAAAAACAACTCCCAGTTGTCACACTGTAGGACCACTGGCTGCACACTTAAGTATCTGACCAGAGTTTGAACCCATACATTTCAATCTGAAGTCCCACATACGAGCCACTGTCCCCCCTCCTCCCCATCAGTATGCCACCATACATGTATCTTCATAATATCATCTTACCTGAATTAAAGTCCAGTTTAGACATCTGCAAAGCATATGCTTCACATTCTCTCTTGCTAAAGCTGAAGATGATCACAGGCTGGAAATTCCTCTCCATGATCATTTTGACAATTTTGAAACAATTTGAAGGACCTGAAATAAATCCTATAAGTTAACAACTCTGCAATTTCCAGTCCCACTTGACCATCAATACTGATTTATAGAGGGAAAAAATTTTTATTGGGTGTGTTCATTAATTGAATGTCAAGAAAAGTTTGTTGCTTGACTGTTGTTGTAGTTTTTCCTAAAATACTCTAGACTATTAACTTCACTTTCGTGATCTCTTGTACTATGTTTGAGCAGACAAAAATAAAGTGATTTAAAAGTCAGTAGTGAGTAGATCAATTATCATCAAGTTAATGAGTTGAAATTTCCTTCCAAGGGAACGAAAAAGAGAGGCCAACCTAAAACGACTTGGCAGCGGAAGGTTGAGGATAGGAGATGAAGACCATACATAAGACACAGGGGGCAATCCAGAAGCAGGCACAGGATAGGAAAGAATGGAAAGATTTCATTGTTGCCCTACATGCCAAGAGGTGCAACAGGCAGTAAGTAAGTAAGTAAGTAAGTAGGTATTACGTTGACAGACAGGTGAATCATAGAGTGTACATGTGTAGATGAAAAATAAAATGCACAGCTAATACTATTTGCGATACACGAAATTGTCCACACCCAGACACACCTTTACTTCCCCCTTTCCTTCCTCTCAGGTTCCCTGGGTCAGTTCCTCCTTCTCTTATGACAGCCATGGCCTTTTGAAAATTCTCCTCACGAAACTCTCCCTAATAAAGCAAACATCAACAGATATTAAAAATGCTGACAGTTTCTCATGTTACCAGATAAAAGAAACCTTAAGTCTAAATTGAAGAATGGCTAGCTGAGGGCCACAAGAGATGAACCTGGTTTACGCCCTAACATCAGTATGCATATTTTCCATACTGTTCTCAGTACATTTCCGTTTTAAAATTTGTTTAATCCTTTAACTCCACAATATCATACACACAAGTGATGAGAATAAAAAAAAATATCAATTATGGGATTACTAATTGATCTGATACCAAATTCTCCAACTAACATAATAAGAATCATTTGGCAGACAGCAAGAAGAATTACTGATGAGATCTTGGGAGTTAAAGGGTTAAAAATCAAGAGCTTCTATAATTGGTGACCATTTCCTTTATTCTCATGTAAAAATCGCTTCGAGTTAGGGGGAGTTTTGAGTTCTCAGGGTTTCAAGTTACAGGGGTTAAAATAACAGTAAATATATGAGGTAAATCCGAGGGAAATCAGTTTTGCTTCAAGTAAGAGGGGAATTTGAGTTACTGATTCAACTGTACTTCTAGCTTTCTATTCCAGCAGTTTCACAACCACTGTTGCCTGGGGAAGTTTTTTTTGCCTACTTTGATGGAGTAGACACATACCTTTTCATCCTCAACAAGGAAAAGACCATCTCCACCAGCTGGGTAAATATAATGTTGAAGAGGCGTAGGCCTGAAGTCTGTATACACCACATGACATGGCTACACAACAAGAAACATTTAGTACACATCATTCTGTACAGAACACATCTAATTAATCATTACTAGATGAGGTTGGGAAAAGTATGTTGATATGCATTTACTTTGGTATTGTCAAGGTGGGTTGTTTAACAATCCAAGCTTCTTAAGTTTGTGATCATTTCTTTTATTCTCATGATCTTAAAGAATGACTCAGGAGTATAATGGCTAGGAGATTTATTAGATGTTGGTTACTTAAGGTTTTAAGGGTTAAGTTCAGGCTGGGTCAAAAGGACTTAATTAACTGTCCAGCTAAACCTCTAGGATTCACTGCACCATATTAAAAAGGCAACTAGTTTGTTTGTTTACTAGCATGAAACATACAAGTGTAGTTCTAAGTTTTCTAAAGCAATGTAATCATCTTAAAAGGAATCATTTAGTAAGCAGAGAGGCAATAATTTGTTAACCTGTTTGTGGAGGTGCGCAATCCATTCAGCAAACTGTCTGGCATTTGGAATTGTAGCTGAGAGAAACACATAATGTACATTGTCTGGAAGAAGAATGATGGTTTCCTCCCACACTACACCTCTTTCTAAAAACAGGAAATGAAAAGTAATTCAAGAATTACTTAAAAAAGAAACAAAATAAACATTAAATTTAAATCCTAAGTGATTTTAAATCATATCCCAATACACTAACATGATCATAATAATGATTATCATCATCACAATCCTCATCAAAAGATCCACTCCAATTTCTCCACACCTACCTTTATCTCGCATATAGTGAATTTCATCAAAGACAACCCAGGCTACTTCCCTCATGACCTACAAGTGAAAGAAGAGACAAACACAAGATCTTAATCCCCATTAAAAGACCTCTGAAGGTTTGTAATCAAAGTGAAGGTTTGTAACTAAAAGAGAGACTAAAAAACTGAACCCTTTTGCTCTCAAGAGTGACCAAGTTGTAATTTCTCCTTATAGTATAAATACTGTACACCATTTAACAGATAGGTGATGAGAGTAAAGAAAAATGCCTATCAAGAGAAAATGTTTCACACAACACCAAGTTTTCAGAGCTAACATTGTGAAAAAAAGGAAGGCTGAATGATTGGAGAGTTACTTCTGAGATCTTAAGAGGGAACAGGTGAACTAAACCATCCTTAGAAATACTGGGTAACAGCTGTTTGTCATAAAAAACAAAAGAAACCCTTCTGCCTGAAAGAAAACCTCTTGGTCTACAGTCCACCATACCTGAGACAGGATGAGTGTGTGGCACACTAAATTAAATCTTAATCCCATTCTAGATCATGATGTTGAATTTTACCACCCAAATAAAACAAATATTCCCACCTCAAGATCCCAGTCCTAAACAATCTACAAAACTGCAAGTGATGTCAGACAAAAAGATCTTCAGTCTAAGATTAGATACTGAAAAAGGGTCTTCCACAACACCTGTACCCAATAACTAAGGTAGTTCCTCAAAAGGGAATCACAAATTCTCTCCATTTAATTAATATGTAAAACTTTCCTAACCTCAGAGCCCCTGTACAGCATATTTCTCAAAATCTGAAAGCAATCACACATTAACTTGTAAGAAAAAAGGCTAAAAGAACTTTTCAATAATACTACATGTGTGTAAATGTACACTACATTACAAGCTTAAAGAACCACAGAACAATAAAAATGTCAGATAAGAAACAACTTGTGCATATACCTCTGTGGTCATGACCAAGGCACTTGCACTGGGATTTATTGTGACATCTCCTGTCATCAGACCAACATCCTGGAACTCCTCGTACAACTCACGGTATTTTTGGTTACTGAGAGCCTTACAAAACATTACAAAACATTACAAAACAAACAGTAATGACAAAGTGCTTTATAACTTGTGGGCAGTACAATTTGCTGTTGAGTGAGATGCAGAAAAAGTTTGGTGACAGGGTTTTGTCGATGAAATTATGCTGTAGTCACAAGCAATTTTCCTCATTTCCAAAGGTGACAAAATCTCAAGAACCATCCATCCCCAACTTTTAACTCTTTAACTCCCATGAGTGACAAAGACAGAATTTCTCCTTACATTATCAATACAATATCAACCAGATAAATGACCAGAATCAAAAAAAATATCAATTTGGGGATAATTAGTTGATCAAATACTAAATTCTCTGAACTAACATTATAAGAATTGTATGGTTGACAATAAGGAGAATGACAAATTTGATCTGGAAGTTAAAGGGTTAAATGTAAAAGCCCTTGAAATTAGAGGTTAAACAACACACTGCCACTGGAAACAGAGCCAGCTGCCTATGACAATGAAACCATTTTAACATCAAACCATGGTGGACAAACTTTGTCAAGCCTCACTCAACTGAAAACCATAGTATATAAACTAAATAGTTATGTAACAATAAAACACAACAGACAGATTCTAAGAGAATCCTTTTTTAAAGGATTTAAGTTTAAGATGGATATTTCTCCTTCAAACTAAATGAATCTAAATTTCTAAAATTCCTATGAAGAGAAAATTGGATAAATAATGAGGAGGGGGGGAGCGGTTACAGCATTAGACAGAGAAAAGGAGACCAGTTTTGGTTACAATTATCTAGAGTTTTAAGAAACCAATTATTTGAAAAATCCAAATTCTGCTGTACTCCTTTCTTACCTTGATAGGTGTTGTGTAAATGACTCTCTGCTTGTTCTTTAGAGACATAGCAATAGCATACCTAACAACAATACACAAAAATAATTTATTTGTACACAATACAACACCAAAAGGAAGCAAAGTGGCTAAGGGGCTACCAAACTAGAGCTAAGGTTAAATGGTCCACCTTGATATCTATGATAGCAAACTCTCAAAACTAATTTATAAAGAAATATATAGTTACTGGTGGCGAGAATCTACTGCTCAGGCTGGACTCAAACAGGGCAGAGAGTGAGAATAGAAGGCTACCAGAATGTTTGACAATTGCTTGAATCTTTGTTCACAAATATTCCACAACTAGTTCTGTATTAAAATTGCTGTCATTGTCTCTTCCGCCAGGATATACAGAAAGATGTACAACCACCAAGGTTGTCTAACATCAATCCCTAACATCCAAAAACAGTCCAACTCAAGACTAAATGTTCCCTTACCTACATGTAGACAATCAGATTATTCCATCAAATATTACCCTTAGGTTATGCAAAAGGTTATGTTCACAAAGTAATCTTCTTACTCGGCCACAACTGTTTTTCCAGCTGATGTATGAGCAGACACCAAGACTGACTGATTGTTTTCCAAACATTTCACAGACTCTTTTTGAAAGGGATCCAGGATGAAAGGATACTCCTAAAAAAAAAAGTTTCAAAAATTACATCTCATTTTGTTTGATCATTTGTCTACCAGAACCATTTTTTGTGGATGAAGAATTATCTGTGAAATTTGTAACAATTTAACCCACCACATTGCTATGCTACCCTATTGTTTCTATTACTATGGGTGAACTAGAAAAAGAAGTGACTATTACCTTGGCTGGTTTTGTTGCCTTTTTCTCTAATGGAACATAATCACATCCTTCTGGAACTGCCACCTTGAAGAAAATGGAAAATTTATGATATCAGCAAGGCAGTACATGATTTGTTGCTCACATTCTGATTACAGCCTATACTATGACTAAGTTGTGGTGCAAATTTTTCATGGTTTAGATGTTTCTAGCCAGCCTTATTCTTATTTTGCTGTGTTCCATGAGTGGAAAATGAAAATAAAAAACCAACCAACTACAAAAATCTTAATTCCCAAAAATATTTGAATCAAAACATACACATGCACTTTTAATGTTAATTGATAAGTGGTAAAAAAAAGATTGTTCATGTAAAAACTCACCTCGTGAGTGCAGGCTTCAATAGTTTCAACATTTCTGACATTGACTCTGGGAATTGTCTCAAGGAGACTTCATGACAAATATAAAAAAAAACATTTATAAAAAGACAAAGTAACTTAACTTTTCCTTTAAACTAATTCTACAATTCCTATGACTCTTCTTTTATCTATCAGAATCACTGCATCATGCACTCACAAGCACTGGTCGTAGTTAAGAACAGGTTACTCACAGAATGACGACAATCGGTAAACGATCGGCCTGACAAAGAGACAGCTATCGCCCAACAGCCGGTGGACACATGACCGATCGACAGTTTTCTTCGGAGCCTGATTTTTACTATCACCCATAATGTAAACAATCACTTGACTGTTTCGTTATTTAACCAATGGTGAACTATCTTCCAACAAAAATCTACTAACAAGTAAAAGTTCTACTTTTACTTGTTACTCATTTTTTAATCATAAACGTAATAAAGAGCAAAAAGACAAGATTCACCTCTCCATATCGTCAACTCTCGCTTTCTTAGCTCCAGCATCATCGAGGTCGATAGCGCCCGGTGTAAATTCTCTTTTCTCTCCGATACTTGACGCTCCTGTGGACGTCGATAAATCAGCAGCTTCCTTCTTCCCTTTCTTATTGTTTTTATCTGATTTTTTGCCTGAATCATCTTCGAAAACAGCGAAGATATCGTCTTCACCAAAAGCGTCCGCCATGTTTCACATGTATGATTGGGTATGACAGCTGACCGTTAGTGATGTTGAGGTCAAACCTCTCCTTGCCCTACCCCTGAGAGTATTGAGTTACTTCCTTATTTTTTTTTTTTTTTTTTTTTTTTTTTTTATTTTCTTTCAATGAACCACATTTGCGATACTCCGGTTGGTGATGACCACGATTATATCTGCCAAAATTATCTAAAATAGCATTATATAACCTCTTCAGTGAGTGTTTCTTTTACATTGCGTTGATAGGTTCAAACACAAAAAACCCAGAACATCTAATGAAAATGTTCGAATAGGCTTCTGTGGTGGAAAAAAAAGAAGACTTCTAGGGAGAAAATTTTAAGGTTGTGGTGCTCAACCTTTGCATTTTTTAGGTCAACAAAACAAAGCCAGTGAAACCACACGATTTCAGGCTCAAAGGTTTTGTAATAAATAAATAAAATTAAACTGTACAACATTTTGAAAACGCCAGCTATATTTACAAACTAAAGCAGCAATTACATTGCTATTTTCCTTAATATAAGCGAAGCATATCTTTTGCACTGTGTCACTAAGCAACTTTGTGTCTCGGAGAAGTATGTTTGCACATAAATCAAAAAAGACAGAAATTTACTGCAATTTGTGTTATCACAAACACCCTGCCTTTGGCAAGAGGTTAGTTTGTGAGCTAAGGTTCAGATTTACTTGAGCGTTTTGTTAGCTCTGTAAATCTCCATCGCGTGTATTGTCTGGTTTTGAAAACTGAGACATTGAACCTGACTAGACTTGATGACCGAGTCATAACATAAGAAAAAAAAGTACATTTCCAAGAGGTAAGAGTTTTAAATCAAAGACGTTCGCGACCTGTGCGGGGCCAAGCGCGAACCCAATTTCATTATGTCCTATCGCAGCATAAAAACTGGTGACTGGATGGTTTAAAAGAATTTGCCCTGATAAATATGCTGATTATCATAGCTTGGAGTTGTGTATGTTAAGGATAGCAAAGAGAAGGTTCCTGCATGCATTTTAGAGAAATTCGCGCGTCATTTTTTATTTTCGAACTCAAGAATATTTTAAGCGCGCGTAACAAAAAGCAAAAGGGAAACTTCAGATCTCATCTTAACTTTCCACGCGTGACGTTTAAATTTTTAACTTAATCACGCGTCACATAAAAATATAAATCGTTTGCCAACCTCTCTATTTATGCAGGCGTATAACATAATTACGACAAAAGAAATATTATTACCCTAAATGACTTCAATCTTTAAAAGAACAAGTAAGAAAATATGTGAATATAAAATTCCGGCTATTACATCTTTAGAAGGATATTTTTAACCGGCATCCGTTTTGAATTTAATTTTCAATTAAAGAATGAATGATTACGAAAGAGCTATCAGTTTTCACTGGCAAGAGATATAAGTTGGATGAATCAAATGTATTCATTCGATCAGTCATGGAAAGCGTTCTTCGTTGGGTACCTTGTGGTAATCAGTCGGTTGAAATGCCACTTCATGCTCTCGCTTCCTGTTTTTCCCCTTTTTCTTCCTTTTCTATCAAGAGCACATTTCGATCTTGCTTTAAACTGAAGTTTCCCAAGCTCGTTTACGTTTTTTATTTCCTTTTTTGTTATTTACAGGTTAAAGATGCAAACGAGAAATTTCATTAAATATTGGTCAGCACTTTTAAGTGCCTTACTGGTTTTCTTAGGTTACGTGTTTTACACATTTAATGTTAAAACATACCGTGGTAATCAGTCGAGTTTGAAAAAAGAACAATCCACATATATTCAGATTCCTTCTCTACGAGTTCAAAGAAAAGGATTAATAATTTTTGGTCAGGATCGCTCTGGGACGACCTTTATAAGTGCAATGTTTGCAAACGATCCACAAATATTCATGGTGTACGAGCCGCTCTGGATAACTCAAAGATGGTTTTTTTACGAAAACCAGTATTATCATCGTTGCATAAGTTGCGAACTTCAAGTAGTAAGTTCCATTATGGCTTGTAATTTCTCACGCTCCCCTGCTTCGACAAAATTCCTGTCGTATGTTTCCACTCCCTGGACTGGTGCTCTGCCAGTTAATATTTTCGATACACCAAACTTTTGCAACAAAACTCGGGATGTAAGGAATATAAATTGTCCCAAACTTGGAAAAAACCCGGGTTTTGTGGATCGTGTTTGCAATACAAAGTATAAACACAGCGTTGTTAAGGTCGCACCCGCAAGGTTACCTCGAGAAAAACTGGCTGATCTTGTTCCTCGAGTTTTATTGGAAAATCCGGATCTAGACGTGCGAGTGTTACATCTGGTACGAGATCCCCGAGGTAACATTAATTCTCGAATTAATTTAGACTGGGTGAAAGATTACCCCAGCCCAAAACTACCATCGACTGCAGCAGACCTATGTGGTTCAATTCTTATTAATTTATATCATGCGGATAAAACATTAACAGACTTGGGACTCAAACACAGGTACAAACTGGTTTTGTACAAGCAGATTGCTGATGATCCGTTGGGGACTGCCAAGGATATCTATGACTTTGCTGGATTTAAAATGCCTCTAGAGACAGAACAATGGGTATTAGAGACAACAAAACCGAGCGCGGAAACACTTAAGAAGGAACTGGAGAAACCTTATTCTACAGTGCGGAATGCTTCAGGAAACGCGGATAAATGGAGGGAAGATGCATTTTATTTCAGGAATCGGATCATTGAGAGACATTGCAAAACTCTATTGGATTCATTAGGCATGGAGAGAGTTTCCAAACCAAAGTTGGCAAATCATAAATGAAAATGAAAAATCGACTCTGCAATACTTGAATTCATTAAATGAAGAGTTCCATCTCTCCTCGCTACAGTCCCCCGAGGACACCGCTCGGGCAGATTAGGGTTAGGAGGCAGCTGACATCAAAGCACAGAGTACAAGGGTGGGAAAGGAAAGAAAAGACAGGAAAGGCGTTCGACGAAACGTCCTTGTTCAACTGCGTACGTTTCTTTGAAAGGAAGTGCAAAAACTGACTACACAGGCGAGGGTGTCACTGAAAGACAACTCACGATAACTTATGATAATTCCGCTGACCTCAGGGTGGCTCAAAAGACATTTGTTATAATGCTTATTTACTCGTTAAAAAGTAATTAACAAGCCCATTTATTTCATATCGTGTTATGCTCCTTTCTCTGATAAATACGAAGAGAGTGACGACGACACAGCCTCTTGAAAACAAACTTAATTTTAGATCTATATTACTGTAACTTGTAATCGAGTTTGGCGAACCACAGTTAATCAGTAGATTGCAATTAGCATGTCGAGTTTCACTGTCTGTAAAGTTTTTTTAGAAATCGATAAATTGGTCCAGAGCCTCCTTAAATACCCACAGGATTAATGTTGAAAATTGTTAAACGATAGAAATATATATATATACATATCTAATCTGAAAACATTGTAAGGTTTTCCCCATATTAGTGTTGAGAAAATGAATGGAAATAATTCATTACCATTAGCCATTCATTAAAAAAAAATTATAAGAAGCAAATTGATCATTTGCTCTTGGCGGTCTTCTTATCCTTTGGCGGTCTTATCTTACAAGCAGAGTTTGTCACCTTTTTTTATTGCGGTCGCGAATTTGACATGGAGAAAGATGTTTCTATGTAAACAATTTTACTTAAGCTTGTCCGACACCTCTTTCTTTAAAGGTGACTTAAGGTGTAAACAACTAACACTTTTCATTTTCTGCACTGAATTTATAATCAAGCACTTATACGAACAGCACTTAATTCTTGTAAAGGCGGTACCTTGGGTACGCCCTTTCCTCTCCGAATTTTCTGTTTATTCTGTTGTTATGTAAGAGTCTTCGAAGGCTATTTTCTCTTAAGATATCTTTTCAAGTATGATTCTAATTATGTCAATAAGTTCATTATAATTTTCATGTTACCATAATCTTGTTCTTGTTTTGCCCAACCTTGACCGTAAGAGCAGGAAATTTAAGGTAGAAAAAGATTTTGCAAAGCGTAAACATCTCGAAGGTACGTACTTAGCATGCGGGAACTATTTCTCGTAACTTAACGTGATTCGCTGGCTAAGTAAGAAATGATGAAGATGCATGAAGATTGACAGCTTAGTAAGTGTCACCTTTATAAGCTGGTGACCAGCATTCTCACTCAGATCTGAGCTAGTTCCCAAGGCAGCAAGTTGTGTAATAGAAAAAGAATATAGAAAGTACCACTGTACTAAAAGTGCAAGAAACATTCTTCTAACAAAATAACAAAACCATTTTGCGCTTCCTTAAGATATCTATATCAAAAAATATTCTCTTTCGATACTGATTTTCTCCATAAGTTCAATCAACGGTTTACAAATTCTCTCTATAATCAGAGTTCGTTCCGGTGGCGACTCTCTCCGCCATTTTTCGATATTCGCCTTAGAATCCCTTACTAGCGAGTACGGATTCTTAAACTGCCTTCTCGAATCCATTTTAGTTGGACTTGTCCTGTTTTCGATCCAGCTTAATGTTTTGTCTGATAACCTTAATCCCGCGAACTTGAAGACTTCTCTCGCCGATTCAACCGGCCGGGTGGCTATATCCTTGTAGAAGATAAGTTTATATCTCTGTTGGAGAGATTCGTTAAGTTGTAAACCAAACTCGATGTTTTGGAGAATCCCATTACAGTAGTCTTGAACCTTTTTCTTAAATTGTGGATGTTCGTAATCTGGCATCCACTTAAGTTTAATCCTCGAGTTAATACTTCCTCTAGGATCACGCACAACGTGCAATAGTCTGACATCTGTACTTAATGAGCGGTCAATAATTTCCGGTATTAGACTTGACAAACTGGTGTCTGGTAACCGTTCAGTAAGCTCCTTAAGCACAGTGCTGTCATAGCTGTATCTGCACTTATCGATAAATTTTGTAAACATCTGCTCCGCAGGGAAACAGCGTGTACTTCCACTTCTGTATTTTAGGCACGCCAGGTGTTGACTTGGAGTAACGAAATAATACTTCTGTTTCAAGTACCAGAAAGGTGGAAAATAGTCTTTTTGCCATAGAGGACTTGAAGCGAAGTTGCAGGAGAGAAATGATTTCAAGACTTCTATCTTTGCAACGTTTGTGAGGTTGCGAAATCGTAAAGGTTCATAAACTTCGAAAATCTGTGAATGAAAATGGTAACGCTCGCCAGTTGCACAGCTCTCCCGGGGGGAGGGAACTTCTTAATTCCTGAGGCTAATTGGGGTCGCATTTCACGACTGGATTGACTGTGAAGGGATTACATTTTCAATGCAGTTACTAAAAAGGTCGCACACTTTCGTAATTTTTGGGATAAGGAAGTTCTGGTAAAGGGTAGAAACATAACAGAAAGTTGAGATCGCGAAAATTACATTTGCCTAAAATTGACCAAGATGGGGTCTACAATTGGCCACAGAATAGATTACAATGGGTTTCTAAGCAAAAATTGACCCAAGTACCCCCCCCCCTCCAGTCATTCAGTCAATGAACGTACTAGGAAATTACGAACGCCAAAATGAAACTAATGGCAGCCCTCTACCCTTTGGTGATCAAAAAGTTGACTCTCCTTACTCAGAACTGTATATTTCTTCGACAGATACTCTTGAGAATTTGGTGTTACATCACGATAAGCGTCTTAATTGTATTGACCCTCGGGTAGTTTGGGTGGAAATGTGATCAAATCAAGCTTTTGAGTCATGGTTGATTATCTAAAAAGGGTAGATCAACTGCCATGGCAAAAGATCAAAATCTGTTGTAATGATCTCGGACAAATCGAGTCCTAGAATTTATTGAAGCTTTGTGTAAGATCATTTTAAAGCGGCCCCTAAATCGTCTTTCCTCTCACGCTCATAAGCATTATTTTGGTGCAGAGGTAATACACAAATAATGAAACCCAATTATCCCAACTTTTGGCCAAAATATCTTCAAAACTGATAGAAAATTATCAAAACGAGGAGAGGGGAGGGGAGAGTTCGGCCTTTGGGAAAGTTCGCTTCTTTCTCCTCCGCTTAAACCTGATTTGTTTCCAACCGCGGGGTAATCTTAAAGCAAACCGGATTAAATTAGTGTGTTTGTTTAATTTTCTGCGGGAAGAGCTCATTTGAAGCCACACTAAAAGGTAATTTTTGTCATATTTTGGTTGGCGTTTTGACAACAAAATATACCAGACGAATACTTCATAGGATAAACGCGAACTGTGTAATCCTTCTATTTAGGACCCTGTGAAATTCATGAACAACAAATGCTATTAAAATTATAAGATTAATGTGTGATTAATTCAAAGAATGTTTTCATGTTAACATTTGTTTACTCACTCTTTTTCCGCTCCCAAACATCTTCGACAGGAAACTCGTGCCTGATCGACCTCTTCCTATGATTAACAAACCCTTTCGTTGTCGCTTATAACTTTTAGAGGGAACATCGTCAGACTCCCAGTTTTCTGAGAGAAAATCTCTCGACGTTGGTATACGCTCATTTAAAAAAGAAATCGTAAGAACTAGAGCGGTTACCACGCTTCCGATGGCAAAGTAATGGCGAAAACCAAGTTGCTTTCGCATGTTGTTAAATCAGTTGTCGATCAGAGCTGTTGTTATTCATCATCAGTGCGACCTTTTGCTCTCAGTTTATAATGTATTCAAAACCTGATTGCTGTCAACTGCTGAAAATCTCTTTTTCTTGTCCTCGTTAATCAAACTGTTGACAAATAATCTTGATAACCTTTAAGGAGACTAACTGACGGAAGTTGAGCGCGTGTTGATAACGATTAAAGTCGAGAATCACATGCGCGTGCTGAAAACGTTGTCAACGGGAAGCATCTAATTTGAACTGTGAAACGTGTTTTCAGTCGGAAAAAAATTAATTTAACTTTGATTTAGTCCGTCATAAACTTAATTTACTTCCTAGTGAAACGCAAACTTTAAAAGTGAATGCCTTGACTCTTCGAAAAAAAATTAAAATCAGACCATCCTGGAAATACTGGAAGGTAACTCTGATCAGATATATGGCATATACTATAAAACTGAGAGATTCTTGTACAAGGTTAACTAGTTGTCACGACAACGCTTCTCGCGCGAATTTTAATCTTACGGGAAATTATCTGTTCGTGAGTACCCTACAGCTTAATCTTTGTTATGTTCACTGCGCCTGAACAAATACAAGCAGTATTTCATCACTAAAACTTATAATTATCTACTTTAATTTTCGATGGCTTTTTTGAAAATGTGATTTAAAAAAAACCCCAATTATTTCTCCACCAGTTTGATCGACTTTTCGATGTATTAAGTAACCAAAGCAATACTTTGTCATATTCATAGACTGAACACTACCCAGTAGCCCTCTTCCCGGCCGTTTTTGATGGATTGCCCACGACAACGACATGATCTTAAAAACACCCTTAATTCACTTTGATGTGCCTGTAACTCCAAAACCATTATATCTATCGTAGAAATGTGGTCAACATATCAAGATTCACCTTTCTGTAAACTTTTAAGAAAACCTATTTTTGAAATTTCAAAGCCATCTTAAAGTTTCATAGATTAAAGTGGCTCTGAATTGTTGACACAGATTTTGATGGAAGTTTGGAATTTAATTGTAAAAACTGACAGTAATTGAACGGAACTGATGTTTGAGATGCAAGCACATAAAGCTAAAATGAAGGGAGTTTCTAAGAGGCTGTAGTGTTGTTGTGGTAACTTCAAAAGTCAAAGAACTGTTCACAACATGTGGATAAGTAGGAACTTTTCTGATATAATTTGCAAAGAAACAAATAAAACATGGTGGTAGACTTCGCGAATAAAATCTCTCTCTCTCTTTGCCGACAAAAAGCTTCGAATGACGGGAAATTGATAAAAACTCACACAACGGGTGATAACTACTGGTGTACTTCCGCGGCACGCCCCAACAAATGATTAACAATGGCTGACTGAAGCTCTGTAATAAAAAAGGCTGCATGTTTTACAGATGAGTTGATGAGATAATTAAAGAAGTGCTTTGGATTTGTTCTTGTGTTTGTTCTCGTTTTGTTCTTTTGCTTCCCTTTATTATTACTGTTTGATTAACGGATATGTCGCCTTCCACCCGCCATCAATCACGAAGGTGATACTTTGAACTGTGCAAGGCTTTTGATATAAATCAGCGATCTCTCTCTCTCTCTCTCTCTCTCTCTCTCTCTCTCTCTCTCTGGCCGTCTCTCTATCTTGAATCATCAAACTGATTTGTAATTTGGTTATAACGGCATATTGCGAAAGAGAAAGAGCGTTTCTAAGGCGACTTCCATGAAACCACATGTGCAATTGACAAATGACGGAGTCAGCAAAAGCTAAAAGCGGTTTTTGAAAAAAAATACAGGATCCAAAGGGCAAAAAGGTAAAGACGAATGCCTCCACGCTAGGAACACGTGGTCATCATTTCTCTCTCGTGACTTTACCCTTTTATTCCCAGGCGATTAAAACACAACTTCTCCTTCATTTCAGTTCGTACTGTTTTATACTACCCGTTGACTATCATTATCCTCCATAACGAGAGAGAAAAATAGGAACTTTTTGGACAAGCGTTCGAGTAATTGAAATCTCATGTTCCTCTTCTAGAATTCGGGGACAACTGTACACGGTGAGAACTGGAATGGAAGCAACTGCTTATGTTTTTCTTTTGAGTAAACGCACTATTCCATGGATAAATTGTGGCTCTAGTGCTTGCATTATTCGCTGTAAAGAAAAAAATGACTCGGTCCTTTTTCCCCATAGATCTGGGCCTAGTTTTTTAAAAGGCTGATAACGCCACCCAAAGGATAAATCGCTACCAACTGAGCGGATCAGTTAAGAAAAAAAAACATACCAAACAGAGATCTAGCTAGTGAATAACGTTATCCACCCCTGAAAAACTAGAGCTTGATGGCTAAATCTCCTTGCTGACTATCAAACAGTCTTTTGCAAAGTTCTAATGAGAATTTTGTGTTTGTGTTTGTGTTTGTTTGTGTTTTAATGTCCTCTTTTTTGATGAATTTCTGTATTCCACGTACATGTCAGCTTTATACCATGATCTTATTCACAATTCTCCCCTCTAACTGTTACACATTTTTTTAAAAGATTAACAAAATGATTAACAATTAGATAATAATAATGAAATTTGTTAGAAGATGTTACATTTTCATCAAGTTTCAAGTCTTCTCACCCCAGCTTAGTTTACTCTATACATATGGTAAACAGTAGGTAATCATAAAACTGATACTAAACTGGTGACTGTTTTTACCCACTGAATACTTACAGTTGGTTTCAACTTGATTAACCACACGAAACAACCCCACCAGAGTTTCCTACCAGCCTATATGTCATGTCTTTCAGCAAATCAGCAGAAGCAACGCACAAAGAGACTACACGTCAAAAACAATCGCATTTCCCACAATAACAACTAATCTTTTCTTTTGCTGTTTCTGTTTTATTTTCTCAGTTGGAGACTGCGAGAAAAAAAAAGTCACATTTGAATTAAATTATCTTGTGTACCTTTTGCCGGATAGAACTGAGCTCCAGTGGATTGTCGCCTATGTATTCCACTCGATCACTCTGTTACACTTCCAGCTTAGTTACTTAAAACTAAATCGTTATATTTTGTTTTTGATTATAAGGTTGACATACTTGTTCACTGACTGTGCTCTTTATTATAACATGCAGAAATACATGTCAACATATTCACAAGTAAGCCCTATCCACCGCGGGTTTTTTTAATTCTAATTAAGGGTGTAATTGTTTGAAATACACTTCCATAGCAACCAGCAAGCCTCATCAGGAATACACAATTCCTATTTCTCACTATGAAGTTTGCCTCCGTCCCGTTCATTTTGAGTGAATACTTTTCAGGGTTGAAGTTTATCTCAGATAAGTTCAGGCAAATAAGCATAAGAAATTCTCGAAAACTCGAGAGTAGGTCTAAAACTCCTGTACTTGATATATCTGGTTAGAACTTCACTCTACAAACTTTTTTCAAAACCAAATTCAAATCAAAGAAGCTCACGGGAACGAGAAACAACTGCCAGACTTCCCTAAGTCCATAGCCCGGAAAAGTATGAAGTATGCATTTAAAACTGCTCTTTGAATTAACTATAAAATCAACCCTTTAACTCCCATAGAAGATTAACATGTAACTTCTCCCTACAACATCCTTCCACTATCCAGCAAACAGGTAATGAGAATACTCGAACGTATCAGGTAGAAGTTGTTATCTTGATCTAACACCAAATTTATGAAACTAATTCTTAAAGAAATGTGTCGCAGATAGAGGAGAGAATTAACAAACAGATCTTGGGAGTTTTAAGGGGTAACTATAAAGTTAAAATAGTTACCAATTTAACCGCAAATTGGAGTGTTTCCGGCAGGGAAATGACATCATCACAAGACTTTTAACCTTTTATTCATTTTGTGACTGACACATGCTCCTCCATACTTCCTGAAAATTTATATAAGTATACGTCGACTATTTTAATTAAATTTTGCGGTTACTCGTTTAAGAAAAGGGCACTAAGACTTTTGTAGTTATTGATAATTACAACTCTTTTGTACCACAGCGGTCGTTGTTCATTCCAAAAAAAATCAACCTAGATCGTGTCCATTTTTCGCCCGGATCAGAAGACAAACACCTGTTTGTGAAAGTCTACCACTTAAAATTCCATCACAGAGGATTAAAACTTAAACAAACAAAATTATGCGATCCTAATTGGAAAAACAGTCCTAATACTAGTAACAAATATTGTAAACTTTTGATGTTTCCGAAGCGGGTACAAAAATGACAGATATCCAAAAGTTATGGCAATTCAGCGAGGTCGAAAAGCAAAACTGTTGCTGCGTATTTAAGTTTTGCAATCGATTATGCGCTGTGCAATTTAGAGGCAGACATTTCTAAAGAACACCAAGACAAACTGGAAAGATTACAGGTTTAGATCTAAGCTCAGTTGGTGTGAAAATAACAATACATGGTTTTAATTGAAAACAGTCAAGCACAAAATTACTAATTAAAAAAATATACACAATGAACTGCCAAGATACTAATTATCTACTTAGGTTGTAGTCAGGGGTTTTCCGTGATCGTGAATAGCGCCGTGTGTCCATAAAATCACGCAAACGTCTTTACAAAAGCACACTGCTCGATTGTGCAAAGGGTTGCGTGCAGAACAAACACCAACGAACGGAAAAACGCAACAGGGGTCGGTGAATGTCACTTGGGTCATAAAAAAATAAGCTTCCGTTTTGTAAGAGCTCAATTTCAAAGAGCTGTTGACAAGCTCTGAACGAAACAGTTGATTCTCTCTGTGACAAGGTAAAGGAGTCCTTACACGCGTTGTAAAACAGTCGAAAGTATCTCAGAAGAACGACTCAAGTACCGTAACTGAGATTTTCTTCCTTGGAAACACAGTAAGTTAATGTACGTTTTGTTTTTATTTTTCATTGAAGGTTATATCCATTACAAAAAAAAAATCACCATCTTCGAAACGTAATGCTCAGGATGAGACAGCTTAACAAAATTAATTCAGTATCATTTTGTTTCCTGTCTGACTATGAATTCGAGATTA